TAATAATTGATATTTACTTACAATGCCACGTAAAGAAGTACTATTTAGAGTACATCATAATTATCATTATGATTATTTTTGAGAAAAAATTAAAACGTGTTCATTTTTGATAATATACATCTATTAACTAGAATATAAATATAAAATGTATTTAAACGCTATATTTAATATTTTTAAATTCACTTTTGCTCACATTCCTCAGGAAAAGTCACTTTTGTGTTTTAGTCATGACCTTTGATCATATTAATCGTTTAAACGGTGTTAACCCATAAAGAGATCCAGGAAATAGCATTAAGAAAACCCGGGATCGTACATATTAAGACATCTAGAGATCCCGGGAATTGGCCACTACCATATTGCTTTTAGAAAAAGTCGAAATCGTATTAGTTAAACATACTGAGATTCTGGGAATTGTCCACCTATCATAGATGTCAAAAGATTTTTTGTTATCAATTATGTTAAGTATATCTTATGATGATTTCTAAATAATATACATGAGCATAAACTTAAGCCTCTATTGTGTATTAAGAAATTTTAAACTTTTATTTTTCTATTTTGGCAAACACGTATTGTGATTTCCGCATTTCGAATTTGGTAATAGATAGCTCTGAATATAATTCATTTTTTAGTTGAAATCAATATACCCTTCGTTACGACAATTTTAATACTTTAATATTAAAGTTTATATTGAGGACATTTCATAAAAGAAAATGTGTTTGTTTCTTTTGTAAGATGTAATTTTATTTCACATTGTGAACTTAAGAAACAGTATTCTCACTCTTGTCTACGCCACTTGTGAGAATCTCAATCGATGAAATAAAATTTCATCTTACACACAAACAAACAAATATCCTCTATATAAAAACAAAAATACCAAAATATTGGATAATTGTTTCACCAAAAGATAGTTCTGTCAACAAAATATTATTGACGCATACGTTAGCAACCAAAATTGCTTGAAGAACAACTTTGCAACCAAAATGCGCTTGAAAGCAGTGAAACTTTATGACGCACTCCAAACATTCGTTATATATTATGACGTAGACAATATTAGGAAAGAAAATATGATAGTATGAAGTATCGATAATGAAAAAAATGTTTCGCAACAAATAATTACGCAAATTCGCTTAATCGTAATAATTTGCTGTGTATACGTTAATAATGTGAAAATCATCGCGAACGTGTGAATACGTGATGACGACGTCAAGGACGTAGGAAAAAATATTTGTTTTTATGTATATATTGTCTAACAGGTGTTTTCTCCTAGCTTGTAGTACATGCTTGTTTACGTGTAACAAATTCTTGAAAGCGGGATTATCATAATGGTTTAACTAATTATTATTGAATATCATAATGTGAGCAAATGTGTCTGAATGGTTTACATCGTTAATTTTGAACATTATAGCCACTTTTGCTTTGGTGTGTCGAGTCCTTTACGGGACGCTGGGACCCGTCTAGTTTTCGGATGACAAAAAGATTAAGCCGGCTAATCTTAAGCATGCCGTCGACTGTATATCCTATCAAAGATCAGCCAGCACATCCGTGCCGGTTTTGCTATTCATTCAGTACAGTTTTTAAAACATTTCCTTAAACATGGTGGATGGTTCTGTCCAGATTGAAAAAGATTTGTTCCACCTCCACGCTTATTTTGAATATTTTAAACGACTTTTGTTCAAGTAAAATGCATATGTTAAATCAACAATTTTATTAAGTGTTAGCTCGCCGTTAATTACAGCCGTGTTGTAAGTTATTCCCGTAAGCATACAAAACTCAATGGGTCATGTAAAGCAAACAATCTTTGTTTGGCCTAATTTCAATCATTTAATACAATTGAAAACTCATTTTGAATCTTGTGCAGTGATCATTGTCAACAGCAACATAGTAGATCTATTTCTGAGGCATTGAGAAAAAATATAGTCAAATAAATAACAAAAGAAACGGTAAAATAAAACAATAAATAAGATGCTAAACAAATTGGATAAATTGGATATGAAGAAGTCAAATCTGGAGGGAAGGTATTTATAAATAGTTTTGATTTAGATCTATTTTCTCTGTGTCGTGATGTTATTGTTCCAGTTTTATGTCACTCTGAAGAATTACTCAAGTTAATGATTGAGAAGAACCCTGATAAAGGAGGACCAACAAGGTTAGTAATTTGATTTCAGCAACGTTAACCACTTTACAACAGAGAGCTTCGATGTCTTTGCTTTGGCACGAACATTGCTTGAATTTCACGTGTTGCAAAAAAATGTTATGTTACGCATCAATATAGGGTCTCACATGACACAAGTCTAATAAAATATCATAAAGCGAACATGTGCTGACATTGCAGCAAGCTTAAAGGAGCTTTCGATTGTTCAAATGTTTACAAACATAACATATTAATTTCTTAAATAGACTTAAAATAGAAAATATGCAACAAACTATAATAAAGAAGTTTACTGAGAATTAAACTGCAAATCATTGTTTGAGCTATTTTTAGTCTGATTTGAGTTTAAAGCGTTTAAATAACTCTTTTCAAGGTAATGCCATTTTGCACACACAGACACCATTCTGGACAACTTAAGTTGAGCAAATTATCTGAAATTTTGCACACAAGATCAAGTCTAGACCTTCGTCAAATGGTGTATAATTCTTCAAAAGTGATTCTGGTCCCTTCATGTTAGTGCAGTACCTTACTGATATATTGCATGAATTGAAGGCGAATATTAAATACTATTTTCTAACTTTGAAACTTTGTTGATGAAAACAACAAAATATAAAACATAGAAAGTAAAAGCATGAAACAACAATACAAGAAATAAAATGACAAAAATGTGAAAAATATATATAACTTTGAAACAATTATTGTTTACGATGATGAATTGATAATTATAATACTGCATGTTTGTAACGTCTAATTTCATTGGACAATTTTGACGTTTATATAGGATATATAGCTTTATATATACAACAGTTGTCGATGTATAAAGAAATCTATTTTTCTCTAGAAAAATGATTGCAATATTATAATTTTGTCATAAATATTTCGCAAAAAATATAAACGGTTGTTTGCAATATAATTTATTTCCTGTCAAAACTTTTTAACTATTAATATAATGTGACATTTACGGTGTCTGCTTTCTTAATTATTTTAAGGATGGAAAGAAAAAGAGGAAGTTCATTTTCTTACATAAGTATCCAGCTAATAGAGTCGGCTGCTGCAACAGTGATTGGATGCGGTAAGTTTTGTAAGACATCTAAGCTTGGACAGCCATCATTTTCTCTCGCTATAATATATATATAAAATTTTAATAAACAGTCCAATATGTGATTGAACATGCATTTTTTGGCGAGTGACCTGGAGCATCACACTAAACACAGTATTCCGGTATATACCGGGCAATATGCTTGCCTGATTAAATGCTGAGAAAACATATTGGAAGAGTTGTTGGTTATCGAATGCACAACAATATTGATCAAGTTTCACTATTTCAACTCATGACAGAAACAAACAAGCAAACAAACAAACAAACAAACAAACAACAACGAAGAAGAAATGAATAAATAAAAGAAAAAACAACAACATCAACTAGTGATATGTTTATTGAAAGTGGCATTAAAAAGTCAGACACCCAACTTACTCCAGATAACTGTTTTACACCATTTGGGCGGATGGGGTACAGGGTAACGTAAACCAAATTAAATGCATTCTAAAAAAATCCGAAACTTGAACGTAAAATATGTATAGCATCTTTAAATAACTCGGAAACGAATAGATATTTCTATCATTAGAAAGGGCAAACATGTTGTTGAGTTTTAAAATGTTTAAATGTATCTCTGAACTATTTGTCACAAAAGTAGCATAGTATTTTGACGTCCATACAAAATAATAAATCTCTCTAACTCTACCAATTCTCAGAAAGCAACAGAATGAAAAATTTTGATTCAGGTAAATTCCGATAAGTAACTCTTTGGAAACAATAACAGGTCACCTAAAGTAAAAAAACAAGCTTTTGAGAAATAAAAATAAAAGCAATTCTAGTTGATAATGGGCCTTTTAAAATCTTATAGGATAGACTTTTGACTGACGAACTTTTTGTAAGACGTTGCAAGCACCACATATTTTGCCTGCTTTAAATGTAAAGACAACAATGTCCCGATTTGATTATGTATGGTCAAGTTATCATTTACCGCTACTTATTTGCAGGTCGTCTGCTTCAAGCAGATTATCTCTCCGCACGTGGTAAATGGATACATCTCGGGAAACTCCTCATCCTCGTGTTCATTCCAATTCTTGGAGGATGGGTGTTTACCCTGTACTCACTGACTGACAACATACTTCGAAGAGGTGAAACGGTAGAAGTAAGTGATTTTTACCTTTTCGAATCAAGGTTAGTTTTATTTTCACATTTTAGGAATGTGGAAAATTGTTCATTTGAACAAGAATATACAAATCAAAATATTCTTAAGCATTTTTCCTTTATTCATAAAAAATATAAGCGGAGCGTCCGTGTCCGAGTGGTTAAATCGTTGATTTTCAATCACGAACCCAAGACAGGGACATTAGATTATTTCATATAAGAAAGTTATCCATCTAACTTATGGAACGTCGGTGGTTCTACTTAGGTACCCGTTCGTGCCTGAAATAATGCATGGAAGGCCACCTGAGGTTTTTCCTCCACCAGTAAAACTGGAAAGTCGCTATATGACCTTTACTGATTTGGCTCTACGTAAAACACAACAAAATAAATAAGTAAATAAATAAATAAATAAATAAATAAAATACTAGTATATAATTCATTTATATGTTATCAGATTTTTATTGAATTTCGTACGATTTTTTCCAATTTATTCACTGGAGATGTCGCTTAACCCTAAACCTGCTGACACGCCATTAGCCTTTGCCACAAATATTCCTTTGACATCCTGTCAGCATTTTAAGTTTGTATTTTGATATTCATACACCCTTAGATTTTGAATGGACCATTCTAATTTCGAAGTTGGATCAATCCATTACACAAATTCAGCAGGTTATGGGTTAATGTTATATTTAGGCACAGCAAGTGATGTTGCGGGCAATAAATCTAGGCCGATTAATTCACACTATACAGAAGGAGAGGGATATGAGTATTCTTTACATTAGTAAAGTAGGGCCGGGTACCAAGGTGTTTCTACTTCGGGAGTATGAAAACACAGATCAAGCGTTTGCAGAAATGTGGAATTGGCCTACAGAATTTGCAAAACATCCGAAAATGTATTTCCGATCCAAGGTGAACATTATGAAACATATTGCAATGCAAAGGACCAAACTAAATCCTTTGACTTCAGAAGTCTATGGCGAGATAGATTTTTACAGCGAAATCTTGGAATTTTTCATGAAATGGATGATTGAAAGGATTCGTGAAAGTGGTTTTGGAAAAACTTGGAAGAACTTGGTGGTCTTCCAGAAAATCACCCGCTGTATGTTGGACACCGGAATTGAACGGGCGTATGGGGCGATGTTTTTCGCGCGTGGAAACTTCCCCTATTCGCATTTCTACGATGATTTTTTCCGGAGAATTTTCAGATTTAACTACAACTATAGGAGCTCAACGTTCTATTCAAAGGTTGTTGATCCAATTCTGGATACGGACACGGACCAATCAGCTACCACGATAACGATCAGGACTCTCCGAGAAGAAGTTAAAAATAGTAACCAGAGTGGTATCTATACCTCAAACGAAAAAGCGATGCTTTACTTTGATAGCGTCTCTGACAGGATAGATTTCTTGTTTGATTTGCAAGAACGTATTGCGTCTTTGGTTGTGTCGAGTATAAACTCGACGCTGAACGATTACTTTAACAATATAATAACATTCAGCGTGGCCGCGTCAATAGTTATTTTTAGCTGCCCATTCATCATGTTTTTCACGGAATCATTGACAAGTACCATGCAGAAGTATTCGAAAGTTCTCGTTAAGGCATCGGATGAGCTGAATAAAGAAAGAAACAAAACTGATTGCCTTCTGTACCAACTTCTTCCGAAACCCATCGCCGACGGACTTAAACGCAACAGTAGAGTTGAATCTGAATTTTTCAAATCCGCCACAATACTGTTTACATGCGTTGTGGATTTCCTTCAACTGAGTATAGTGTACTCAGCATTTGAACTTGTGGATTTGCTCAACATCCTGTATACATGCATAGATGAGAGGATAGAGAAATACGATGCCTACAAAGTTGAAACAATCAACGACACGTACATGGTCGTATCAGGTAAACAACATGAACAGTTTTAACATATATTACATAATCATTTTCATATATATACACTATTTATTGAACGACCCGTTGAAGAGCTATATAGAATTTCAAGGGTAACTTTTTTTGTTCATATATAACATCGGTTATGGAACATAACCGTTACAATTCTTTCGATCTCTTTCATGCCATAGGAGTAGCCAGTACTGCAATGTGTCACTCTGGTTTAAATGGTCACACGGTTCTAACACGCCCTGAGGATCGTACCCTCGGTTTTTACGCTGAGGGGAGAAATAAAAATAAATTGACCAACGTTTTCCTTTATCATCTAGGAGTATCTATTGTGCTATGTTGTGACAGAATCTTTGTTATTCCATATAAATTTGTATTCCATATACAAAATGTAAACCCGTTTTAGTAATACAGTTTTTAGTCCGCAATCTCATTATATTTATACAAAACTAAGAGTTGCATGAAATAAGGAATTCATTTCATAATGTAAAAAATAATATGTGAAATGATTATCTAAAGTATTTTGTAAAATACATCAGGTTGCTCTTTTTTTCGCTGCTCTTTTTTTCGCTAACAAGTATCTAATTTCGACTATATATATATGTATCTTGCTAGATATCGCGTTATAAGTAATTTACTGTTTATAAAACGTGTCTATGACACAATATTTAATATATGATATCAGGTGTGCCTGCTCGTAATGGTGCAAGACACGCCTCTGAAATCGCCTACTTGGCCTTGGATATTGTTACTATGGTGAAAGGAAACGCCTTTCTGTCGGCTAGAATGAAATGTCCTGTACATCTTTTACTAGGAATTAACACAGGTTAGCATATCACGATAATCGAAATTGTATTTTATTAATTATACATATTCAATGTACATGTAGATTTGAATCTCTGTTTGTATTCATAATTGATGCTTTCCCAAACCCCACGCACCTATTACGTCACATTTTGCTTATTTCTTATAACTCACGTGACCATTTGTGTATCATGTGAACATAAAATGGCGGCAAATAGTAGTTATCGCGAAGTATAGGGGGACGACTGTGGCAACGATTTTTCCTTGAAAAAGCACCTGCGAAGAAGTTTGGTTTTTCTTGTCTCTCAGCATAAGATAATGATGTGATGCATGAATTTGCATGTGGTCTTACTCAATAACTTAAGCTAGAAGATTAATTAATGTATGGCCGTTACTGTCATGATTACCCTAAACAAATAGAATGCAAGTAGATCTAAAAGAAAATTTCCTATTTGGTAAAACCAAGTTACTGTATTTTCTTTAGTGTTTTTTTTTAACTTATTTTTCTGCTTAAATTTTTTCATATTTTAGTGTTTATTACATACTATATTTTCTTTTATAAAAATAACTAGTTAAACATCTCACGAGAAACCTGTATATTTATGTAGGTCAAGTTTCAGCCGGCGTTGTTGGCAACATTATGTTGAGGTACTGTCTGTTTGGTGACACTGTGAACATTGCGTCCAGAATGATGTCAAACAGTCAACGTAAGTCAAATACCCAGCCAAATTCGACAGTGTTTTCCGTCTAAGATTCGTTTATACAATATAATAATGTCAAGTGAAAATATTAGGGCTATTCTATGAAATATAATGCAAACTTGTTTAAATTTAAATTCAAATTTATTTTGTTTTGAAGTTTTGAAAGAAAGGTGTTAAAACCGTCAATATATGATTGCTTTTCGCAATGGACAGTGTTTTATACGATATATATTGATTATAAAACCAACTCATAAGTCAACTTTGTTTATACCCACGGGACATTCCATCCGGTCTTAATATATCATCTTGATATGCAAAACAAATTAAAAAAATAAAAAAGCAAGAATTCATTAAGAATATCCAGCAGACAAGACAAAAGTATCAAAAGATGCCTAGAACATTTAACTTGGGCTTCAAAAAGGAAATATGCATTTATATATATGTAATTATACATTATATTATTAACATTTCCAAAAACAAGCAACATATTATGAATTGTTAAATTATGTTTTTAGCTGACAGAATACAGCTGAGTGATACAACTTTCCGTGCCCTGAAAAAATGCGGCTCATTCGTTATAACCTCTCGTGGAAAAATTGCTATTAAAGTAAGTCAGTTGTACAGAAAGCTTACTAATAAGTAATTAGTTATGAATTGGTTGGTATTCCTCTTACTATTTGTATATATTCTTAGTGTGATTTCATCAATGATTATTTTGTTAGGCAAAAATAAAAATATGTCTCCTGTCGTTACAATATGAAACCCAAGAAAAAAGTAGCCAATGTACGATCATCTGAATATGACTTTTCTATCGTTATCCATTTTTCTGTCGTTACAAAAGGTAAACTCCAGAAAAAATTCAACAAGCATGCTCTATTTTTTTATCACCGACAGACAGTACGATAACTTTAGTGCGGGTCAGGAAAAAATCCACTCAAATCGATATATTTATGCCACAAAATATCCGATTTTCATTTTAGGGACTGTAAGCATTATGATAAAGGTTTTAATATATTTAAAAAATAATATGAAATGCCAATTGGTGCTGTCTGCAGTCAGTCTATAGAAACTTAGATGTGACTTCAGTTTTTAATGTCATATTACTATTTTTACGACGTCCTGAAGCTATATCAATGCCAATAATTAATAGACTTTTTTTAAACTTCCTCTATGGAATTAATTCGGGTTTAAAGGATATAGGAACGTGAAAGTAAGTTCTAAATACAAATGTCGTAACCGACATGCTGAACAATCGTGAAATAATCTGTAAATGTCTACCATAGCAGTCGCGTGAACATATGACATTTACATTATGCTCAAACGGTGGAATTTTCTAGCGTTTTATTTTAAGGAATGGCCTTTGCTCTTTTCTTGTATTAAGTAATGAATAACTTTAAAGTAAATTTGCTGTGTAAATAAGCACTTCTGTAGACCATTTGTTTCTGTTCTTAGAGTTGATAGTGTTAAATAAAATTTAACAGAGTACAGATCTTAGGTTATTTTTGTCTGTGAAAAAACAAGATAAAAGACAGTCGTGTGTGACTGCGTCCGTTTTACTAATCAAGTCATAGATTATCTGTTATAATGATTATTTGAAACTGCTGATTTCTAGTGAGAAAGGATTACATGCATCTGTTTATAGCAGGTACATTTACATGGTGATATTATTAGGGCTTTGGAAGATGTCAAAGGGAAATAGCAGCACAGTAAAAGTACATTTACCTTTGAGCAGATCTTTAATAGTTGACATATTCCATCGTTTAACAAACAAGTCTTGTTTGTGGAGGGCCAACCAAAATACCTTGGTTATTCTACAGTTTCTATTTGTCATCCACATTCGCGAAAAAATACATGTATTCATACTCGTCACCATGTATCTTGGTGTGTTTTCCTATTGCCCCCCCCCCCTACGAATTGCAAACAACATTTTAAATGAGTTAAGAACGAATCATAGTTACCGATTTGCTACTTTCGTTATGTACAATCATTTCGTTTCTTCGCTGTTCAGTACAAATCTTATTTTAATTTTAGGGTAAAGGTGACATGAATACCTATTGGCTAGTGGATTCATCACGTATGTATGAACGAACCCCAATGTCAATAAAAGAACACCTTCCGGGACAGACTGATCGTGTATCGGTTGTTAGTGCTAGTGCGCAGCCGGGAACAAGCCAGGAGAGACAAATAGACTCGGATGAAGATGTTGCATAGTAAACGAACGAACTTTCACATTCAGTGCTAGATTTAAATGTAACAGTAACACGGGCCATTTTTGGTCATAAGGCTGGCAAATATTTTCTTGTAATTCGTTGCAAATTCATTTAAACTGGCCAGCTAGATCCAAAAAGATAAATATAATATATTGGGTAAGATCAACAATTTGGGTTTCGAAACAAACAAATTAGACTTTTCGGCAAGTTTCATGTAGGCCATAAGATTCATATATCTAAAAATGGTTACTTTGCACTTTGTGGAACCAGTGTAGGCCTATTGTAACGATAAAAAAATATTCATAGGTTTGATAGATCTAATTTTATTAATAAAAAAAGTTGATTATTCATAAGTCGTGTTATAGAGAGTCGTGTATCTATAATACGGCGTGCATCTATAAAACATATTGAATCTGTAAAAACGTCGTGAATGTTTAAAAACCGTCGTGTAGTTATTTTATAAAGCGTTATGTATCTGTAAAGCGTCGTGCTTTTCTAGTATATCAGACATGTGTTTCCATTAGTTTTACCCATGCCGGGAATTTCATCAAATGTATTCTTTATGTGTCGCGTGCTTTAAAATGACGTAATTTCCACGCATTTTAGAATGAAATTGCGTACCAAGGATGACGTCATTTTGCTGTTATGAACGAAATTTCAAATTCATATGATATCGTAAAATATAAACCATTTAAAATATGACACAATATGTTAGAATATATATAAAAAATATCTGACATGTGTTTGCGGTTCCGAATGAAATATCCTTTCCCATGAGTGGCAACTCAGTAAGCCTCATTACCGCGAAATGGGCGGGAACCCTAGAGACTGGTAATACAGTACCGACATATATAATTATTATGGAGGGCGATTGTTGCCAAAATTCCAGCCATGTAATGTGTTCCTTTTGAAAACTACTTTTGAAAATGCGAACGTGTATGCCTAGCATTTTTGATTGTATTCGTGCACAGCAAATGATATGCCTCTTAATCCAATCTTTTAATTGAAGGAACCCGCATTTAAATAACAAGTTTACATGTAAATCTTAACAACTGACCTAACGTGGAGAACAACACAAATTTACAAGTTCGTATCTTCCATTGCATATAATACATATTAAGCATGTTTGCACACTTACAGATATCTATCTGTACCTGAAAAATACAAATGAAATGTAAAACTCGAAATTTAATAAAACGTGTTTCCAGTCGTAGAACTACAACAGTACGTTTACACAGTAACATGTTTAAAATGACAAAAGTAGATTCACAAAGTTAAACGATTTTAAGTCATGCATGACGCCCCGCCCCTCTCTGAGTATTTACGATCTTCTATTACGGAAATGTACGGTCAGGTATAAAACCCGTCGCCTCTTTCCTATTTCTCAACAAAGTGAAGGAAAACACGGCGTCCATTCTAACTTTTTTTATTTCTATAAAAAGTCAAATATTTTTGGTATCAAATGAAAGATTACTCCATAAGCTTTCTATGAGTGCCTCAGAAATAAAAATGAATTAAATGAATAGATGAATTGAAATTTTTGTTTCAAAAATTATCATTTTTTTCCTCTGAAAATAACACTCTCGAACTGGTAAGAAAAACACGGCGTGCCCTCCAAACTTTTTTTATTTCGTAATCAATTTTGATAATTTTGAATTGAAATAAAAGTGTGCTTCATACGATTTATGATATATGATTATATAATGCCTAAAAATAAAAATGAATTAAACCAAAATGAATTAACATTTCGTTTTAAAGTTTATCATGTTACTTTCTGTAAACTAGAGAAAATAAGAATCCATAAAGAACGCTCAAAACGACAAAATTGAGAATGTTGCAGGCTCGGTTTGATTGAGCCTGTTCATGGACGGTAATGGAAAGTGCAAGTTACCGTCCACGCCCCCTAGCACCGGCTTAAGCAAAATTCAACATTTAACATGAACTGGAACAATTTTGAATTTTGAAACATCCGCAGATGTGTTAATATGGCGATTATCATGGAACTTTCAATGTGACACGTAAGTGTCATTCCATGAAAAACGGCATATGGTCCCCAAGTAAAAAACAAAACACACTCTGAAATTCAGTAAGAGAAACATGGCGCCCCCAGCTTACTTTTTTTTATTTAGACTCAAGTAAAAGAATCCTTCATGAACTTTCTAGTGATGCCTTAAAAATGAAAATTAATTACGTAGAAGTATTAAAATTTTTGTTTCAAACTTATCGTTGTTTATTTTGTCTCTCTTAAAACCAACACATTATATTTGGCAAGAAAATCACGTCGCTTCCTTTAGATACTTTATTTAAAAAAGAAAATGAAAATGAATATTGAATGAAAGTTAAGACCATAAGCTTTGAACAAGTATATTAAAAATCTGGAAACAAAGTGATCCCTCGGAAGCATTAATCACAACAAAATTACATAGGAATTGCAGGCTCGGTTTGATTGAGTCTGCACATGAGTGATAATGAACGGTGCAACATCCCTCACGCCCCCTAGCACCGGCTTGAGCGTACTCGATTCTCAACACTTAATAGCGCTGGCATCAATGATCCCGAAAGACCAGAAAAATATAACAACACTGAAGTGAAGTACGGGGCAACGTTTTACAGCTGCCACACGACACTTGACACCTGCTGTTGTGAAGTATTAAAATCTGGAAACAAAGTGATCCCTCTCGGAACCATTAATCACAACAAAATTACATAAGAATTGCAGACTCGGTTTGATTGAGTCTGTACATGAGGGATTGTGAACAAGTGCAAAAAGTTTTTATTTATACTGAAAATACCGGTACCTTATTAAAGGTTGTACATATGTGCTACGTATAAATATTTTTTTTGATTTCGGAAAGGAAATCTCGGTGGCCGCTTTAAAATCCTATTTTTGCAAATACTTGCATATTTTTTGTTGAAAATGAAATTTGTGCCAATACATTTTTCAATTATACCAATAAAAATATTGGATGGTTTTAAGATTATTTCCCCTAAAAATTTCCAAATCGCCGATGTTCTCAGGAAAACACGATGTTAAATAATAAGTTCATGCATAAGTTATCTTCATCATAAATGGTAAAATCAGCAATTTTGAAGTGATGTTCCTACAAATGTAACAACTATAATTTAATATATGGTATGAAAAATGCGGTATGCTGTCCTTCAGTTTTATTTAGAAATATGGGAGAGGCGCCTTTTTATACCTGACCGCAATAGAAGTTCGTAAATACTCCGAGAGGGGCGGGGCGTTATGCTTGACTTAAAATCGTTTAACTTTGTGAATCTACTTTTGTCAATTTAAACATGTTACTGTACTCTTGTAGTTCTACAACTGGTAATACGTTTTCTTAAAACTCTATTTTCTGTATTTAAGATTTATATTTCATTTGTATATTTCAGATCTATAAGTGTGCAAACATGCATATGTATTGCATGCAATGGAAATATGAACTTGTAAATTTGTTGTCGTTTTAGATCTTAGGTCAGTTGTTACGATCTATATGTAAACTTGTTAAATAAAGGTGGGGAACCTTTAATCAAAATATTGAATTAAGAGGCATATTATGTGCTATGCACGGGTACAATAAAAATTGGTAGGCATACAAGTTCACATTTTCAAAAGTCATTTTAAAAAGGAACACTTTACATGTCTGGAATTTTGGCAACAAACGCCCTCCATAAATTATAGTCTATACCATCAAATTTGAACATTCCATTTTTTATTAAATATAATAAATAGTAAAATCATTTAAATTAATGTCATGTTAACCCTGACGTCAATATCTCTAGGCATGTTTTTCATTTTGTCATAAAGTCAGTAATATGGTCAAAATGTTAAAATTATATTTTTTCCCGTTGACTTAAAATGTACTCGGTAATTATAAAAATTTGATTATTCTTATTTAGTTACTGATCAATAGCTAAATGTTATCATTTAAATGAAAAATGAGAACAAAGTTGGTGTCAAAGGCAATTTTACTAGCAAACCATTATTTAAAATAAACAAAATCATTTGAAGTGAAAATGTCAGTAATCGCTTTATAAATTCTAACACACAAAGATTTAATAAATTACCATAATATACTATCGTATTTTAATTTTTTAAAGAGAAAAAGAACAATGAAGTGATTTGATTAGATAGCTTTTCAATCAAGCGCGCAACGCGTCGTAGGGGAGCGGGACACGAGCTTGAAGACTATAAAAATGGTTCTTCGCTAATTAATGTTTAATTTACATAATTCTGTAGTTGTCTGAATTCTGTCCGTATGTATCACGTCTATTCAAAAACGACTTAATTGACCAGGTTCGATGGGATACAATAATATGTTACCGTTCTTATTTCGGGTGCGATGTTCGTGCGCTAAAATTGTCCGTAGGTTTCAAATTTCACAAGAAATCGCTAACAAATACTACATTATAAGCATGACAAGAAATAAATAAAGGAAAACTGATTCACTTTACGTTCAGCATTGAAAATGTAAATTATAAGAATATAATATCATGCTTTCTAGTTTGAGCAATCAAACGTAGGCCTATACACTTTAAGCTAGTAAATCCGTCTCACAATTCAACAAAATGTCCAGAAATACCGGCAGTGATTTGATATTATTTAGAATAAGTTTGAGTTGGAGTGTTCAATAAGCGACAATAAGTGTGTGCTTTTGTAGACTCAAAGTATTCCATAATAATTTTAGCCTTCCTAAAATTTGAAAATATTCAGTGAAAAAACAATAGATCTAGCATATTTTTTTAAAAGTCTTGTATCTGTTAACCGTCGTGTGTGTGTGTGTGTGTGTGCGTGCGTGCGTGCGTGTGTGTGTGTGTCTAAAACGCGTCCTGTGTACTTTTTAGCTAACCTGTCACAAAGTGACATGGTGAGCTTTTGTGATCGCTTTTCGTCCGGCGTCCGTACGTCCGTCCGTAAACTTTTACTTTAAACAACATCTCCTCATTAAAGACTGAGCCAATTTGATCCAAACTTCACAGAAATGTTCCTATGGTAGTCAACTTCAAAATTGTTCAAATAATTTAATTCCAAACAGAACTATGGTTGCCATGGCAACCAAAAAAAACAACAACTTAAAATATCTTCTTTTAGAAAACCGAAAGAGCTAGAGCTTAATATTTGGCATGAAACATTATCTAGTCAGTGTCTACCAACCTTTACGAAATTTTCTGCACGGAAATGAGGCGGAATTCAATGGCAGATTCCGCCCAGAAATTTAAATTCTCCCCCAAATATACAAGTGTTAAACCATTTGCTTTTGGCACGGATTCCGGCCGGATTCCAGGCGGATTTGGGACGGATTCTGGGCGGAATTGGGACGAAATATGCAAATGGGTTGGGGCGGAATTTTGAAGCAGAATCTTGGGGCGGAATTTTGAAGCAGAATCTTGGGGCGGAATTTTGAAGCGGAATCTCGGGGCGGAATTTCGGAACGGAATTTTGGAACGGAATTGTCAAACAAAATTCTGGACGGAATTCTGGGACAGAATTCATGGGGGCGGAATTTTTATGAGTTTAACATGATCACATTTTTTTGGGATAAAATTATCAATAATGTATCACATTAAATTTTCTTTCACAAAATTTAATACATATCCTTTAGTCCAAATACAGAATAGAATACCATACATTCACTATAACACAAACAGTCTTTTTTCTACCTGCAGGTTTTGGTAAGTACTGGTTTTCTTAGAATCCAACACTTTGTTTTTTTTGCAATTTTTTTGCTGAGAGTGTTTCAATCATAAATTTGTTTCAAATGTTTCTGATTATTTAAATTACTATTTCTTTAATTGATGTCTGTTTTAAGTCCACTGCCTGTGTTTCCAAGAACTTCTTGTGGTTGTGCTCACCTTTAATAATAAAATTAATAATTAATTAAACAAAAATGTAGTAATGAATTATGTTTGATTGCATAATTATATGCAGTTATATTTCATATTTTTTGATAATATCAAATTTTATGTTTCAACAGTATTAAATATTAACAGTGCTTATGCATATTCAAAAATACTAAAGCTTACGCAGTATCTTATTTCAGTGCACAAGTGTTTAAGAATTGCTCTGTATAAGAATTAATTAACTGCTTTATTTGTGACACTTTTTATTACTGGTTATGTATTTTTTCAAGGAAAGATGTTGAATAGTAAAGTATTGAGATTTAAAAATATACCTTTTCAGGATTAATACTGCACATCTTTATTGAAACACCTTGCATCTCACAGTCAGCACTTAACTCCCAGTCTGAAAATATGAGTGTAAAATGTAATTTTAGATTGTTCCATTGGAAAAACAACACATACATGTAAAATAATAAATGATTATGATGACCCTGTTCAGCTGTTTAAAACTTCTGAATTTGTACCATTTATTCCTATTTAATCAAATTGACTTAATTTGTTTAATTTCCAGGAAATGAAAAAGATCTACTACATGCTATTGATTTATACAATACACACAATCATTATATAGAATCATTGAATAATTTATATTTTACAGTCATTAAACATGTAATAAAGATTTAAAACAATTATCAGAAAAAAACAAATGTATGAAGTTGAAAATATAAAAACAACATTGACCTCTTGTTACAAATTTTAGTTTGCTACACATGTACCATTGATAGCTTGATATAAAACTTGTTTCAGCATTAATGTAACTAAAGGTTTATGATTACCTGATTATGTTGTTCATCTCCTTGTCCCATGTTTTCACACTTATTTACTAAAACACTTTGAGATCTTAAACAAAAGCATATCTCCAAAATTGTTAAAATATCAAGTACATCCTCTGTCATGTCTGTTATTTGCACTCTTTTTGCTGACCCAGATATCTTAGAATTCAAAATTCACAACTGTATAACTGCATGGACAGGTCAATCATTATGTAAAACAGGGTTAATTTACTCATCATCTCAACCTCCATTCATTGAATGTAACAAAAATTCAAGTAACAAATAGATATATATATATAGAATTTAAAAATCATTACAAATTTCTGAGCAAAAAAAAAATTGCAATGTCCTAGACAAATTCTGCATATGAAATTTATAATGTTATCTCTCCCCAAAATAATTCAATGGAACAGCCTGATCTGTTGGAATGACCAGTGGAGTAAATTAGTCATGCAAAGAGTTTAAGATGGTGGGAAACTGCTGGTCAGTTGAGTTTTATCAGAGCTCTGATCTGTGTAGTGTAAAATCTCAGTGGATGTATATTGTAGTATTTATTTACCTAAATGAAAGCAATTATTGGGCAGTATTGGCTGATCAATTCTATATAGATTAAAAGGGCATACTATATGAGATTATTTCATGCAATGTTTTTGTTTTGTTTTTGTTTATTTTTTTATAACAAAATCATGATTTCTTAGAGTTTAAAATGGCAAGCACACTATCTTGTCCTGTGGCTGTCCTGATATTCAAATTTAAACAGCATTCTTATTTCAATGTTGCTTTTTATAAACTTAAGCATTTTGGAGGTGAATGTTTTCAAGTTCTACACTAAGATTATTACAGTTGTTTTTCAGTACAAAAAAGATTTGCTAAATTAGTCTGACAATATATCATTTGCCACAAAATTTAAAAACATTGTTTAGGTATATTTTAATGTCTAAAAAATAACCCTATTTATTCTAAAAATTCACCTGTAATTATTGGTCAAGTATCATGCTTCAACAAAAATAATAAGTACAGTTGGTAAAATTTCAATGTCTGCAAGTGCAAAAACAAGAGTTAACAATTATGATTTAGACATCTTATATGTGAAATTCTGTTCAAGAAAAATGTTTAAGTATAGAATTCAGCCCATAGTGAAGACCATTCCTTCCCAAGAAAATTTCAAAGTTGAAAATTCTGTCCAAGATGAAATAATTAAGTATAAATTCTGCTCCAAATAAAATTCCAGCCGGAATTTTTCTAGTTTTCCGCCCAGAAAAGTGAACAAAATATTTTTCTTGTGAGACGGAATGACACGGAATTTGCGTTTCCGTTCCTGGTCCGCCCAGAAATCACTGATTCCGTGTCAATTCCGTGCCAATTCCGCCCAGAATCCGTGCCAAAATTTCGTACAGGAGATTGTTCAAATAAATGCCCTGGGGTCAAAATTGACCCCGCCCCTGGGGGTCATTGATTTTCCTTATTTGTATATAGTAAAACATCTTCTCATGGGTGTCTACCACGTTTGTTCAAATAAGGGCCCTGGGGTTAAAATTGGCCCCGGCCCGGGGAACATTGATTTTCCTTATATGTATATAGTAAAAACTTAAAAAATCTTCTTAAAAAAAAACCTAAGAGCTAGAGCTTAGATATTTTGCATGAAACATCTTCTTATAAGTGTCTACCATTTTTATTTAAATAAGGGCCCTGGGGTTAAAATTGGCTCTGCCCCGGGGATCATTGATTTTTCTTATATGTATATAGTAAAAACTTAAAAAACCCTCCTTTAAAATCCCTAAGAGCTAGAGTTTAGATATTAAGCATGAATATTTTCTAGTGAGTGACTACCAAGTTTCTTCAAATAAAAGCCCTGAGGACAAAATTGGCCCCGCCCAGAGGGGGGGTCATTGTTTTTCCCTATATGTGTATAGTAAAAACTTACAGCTGGGGCTTAGATATTTATCATGAAACATCTTCAAATTGGTGTCTACCAAGTTTTTTCAAAGAAAAACACATAGGTTAAAATTGGGCCCGCCCCGGGGGCCTATATACAGGTGGGCGATATCAGGGCCATGATGTCCCTCTCGTTATATAAAGTTTTTAATTAATAAAATGTGTATTTATTAAAAGTCATGTGTGAGTATCTATTTACGTTTTGTATCTGTAAAATATGTGCTTTCTTTATCAAATAAAATAAATCGAAAAAAAAAATTGAATTACATGCATACTTTTAATTGTTTTGCCAGCTTATGCGAAAAAGTCGAAAAAGTGTATTCTACGTACTCTACGACTTTTTTTCAGGCAAGGCAAGAGAATGTAATCTTGGCTAGAAACACCACTCTATAGTAAATTTATATTTACAGCATCCACAGTTAGCCACATATCTGCTGAAATAGACAGTGATTAGCCACTGTCACCACGCGGTGGTGGAACCCCATATTGATCTAAAATTGAGCATCAGTAAAAATAATTAAATATTATATATGTGAATATCCGCTGATCCAAATGTGCGCTTTAACTCGATAAACATCAAGCAAATTGCTTGTCTACATCTAAAATAAACACCAAAAATATGAAAATGCATTACCACCGATTTAAAAAAATAAATAAAATGTTATATGTGTTGACAAATCTCCAAGTCTTTTTTTCAAAAGAGCACTCCTGCTGATCCGATAGCCCTGACTGTCTTTGTTAAAGCTATGAACTTTAAATGTACGCTTTAGACGCTAGTTCTAATGATAGTGTCTCCAAATCACATGTAGCAGTATCATTTGAAACAACCTGCCGGCTATTGCTAATTAATACTTTATATAACATGATAATCTGTATCTAAAAGACTCTGTTACCATCATAATGGAACACCTTTTCTGTTACCATCATAATGGAACACCTTTTAGAATAGGCCATAAAATTGGCCAGACTGAACGATGATACAGCTTACATTAACCATGAAACAATTTAATGATGAAATCTATGTGAAACGAAAGACGAGAGCGTGTTGGCATACAGCAGTAGTAAACGCAGTACCATAAAGGCAATATGCATATGGTAGACAATGGTTCGTCGCAAAAACTTGATTGATAAGGTCGATTGTAACGCTCTGTGTGCACCTCCTCTATTGGACACATATCAATAACGGTTTGAATTAAGGAACTAAGGTCAGCGCTGTCATTGTATTGTAATACTTTAGTGTGAATACTACGACTTTTCCACGTACAAGACTTCTCGAATTCCGTCAATATAAAAGCTAAAGCTTCCTCAAACGAGCCCGCACCTACATTTGAAATAAATAATAATAAATGTAAGTAAAAAGTGTGATAAAAAAATCTAGTTCAATAAACTCAGTAGAAAGAAGTGTATATAGTGTCTTAAAATCTGAACAAAGCAACAGGCTTAATCCTTATAAAATCATAAACATACCAAATTTGATGATGTGGACATAAATTTTATCAATATCAAATGAAGAAAACATTCTATTTAAGCAAAACATATAATGCTAAAAGGCATTTTAAATAACATTTTATCAGTTTTTTTAAACGTCAAAATTTAGAACCTCACAGATCGCCAAAACATACTACAATATATTGCCTCTTTAGATTAACAATACTTATGTACAAAAGTAATGAATGTATACAGTACTGATGTAAAAGATGTACGTGCATGTCCATACAGTGAATACCTTTGAAGTTTGGGAAGTATATACTAAGAGAGATTTGTGATAATTTCTGTTCAAACACGTCCGGATTCATGAATAGCAGGCAGATTGGTATATCCCGGAAAGAATAATGCCTGCCTACTTCTTCGCATAAGTTTATGCTGTCTAACAATTGGTTCTGAAAAAGAAATAAAGATAAGTTATATAAATATACAACAATAAAAAGAACAACCACAACAACAACAATAAAGGAAAAAGACAGACCAGTTGTAAACTAAATACAATATCTGAGTTCAGATATTAAAATATAAATCTAAATTCCTCAACAGTGCATACATGTTCGTACAAGCAGGCACGAACAATCAATGTAAGTGTGAGCAGATCAGAAAGGGTTAATAAAACACACACATGAAAAAATGCTTATTTCCTTTATTAATACAATGCACATATAAAATGTTTAACAGCAATAATAATAAAACCGCTTTTCTAAGATGCCGACAATTAGTCTTCTTGCTTTTGATATTGATTTTACTTGTTTCGTTTTTTTTTTAATTCAGCTATTCAATAATGACTAATAACACCGAGATCTTAATTGTACAGACACGCTCTTCCCAAAATTATTTTCGTTGCGAACAATTGATAGTTTGTGGTATCTGTTATATTTATAGCAAATATTTATAACTTTAAGTTAATACTATTTACAATGTTACACATTCCTTAATAATTTTGAATGATTTCCATGTGCTTGTACGGTATATAAAGGGGTGTATGTGTAAAACTTCACTTAGCAGAATAAATTTATTAAAATGACAGAAGAAGGCATACATCTTCCCGTCCCAACACCCTATAAATGTTCTGTTGTTTTTTTTTTTTTGCCTTACAAGCCGTCATTCGTACTAGGGGCTGACGCAATTTAGTACACCATCCTCGTCCACTTGTACTTGGTAGGACCACTTCCCTAAGCTTTAGTCAGGACACCGGCAGTTAATGTCACGCAAGCTAAGTCGTAACTCCAAGCTGTAGAAAACTTGCGAACTTGCCATCTTACATGTAGCATTGGTTCTCAAATCATATCCCGCAATGTGTCTTCTCAACGACGTATGCGTACCGAGGGGAAGAGAGAAGATTTTCTTAATTTCAGATATTTTCAGTTGATTTCGTCATGAAATTCGAGACAGTCCTCATTCCAGCAGATGTTTCTTTTTATAGACTAGAGCAATGTTTGTTCTTGAAATATAAAACTTCTATCAAATTCAATGACATAAACCTTTAATGTTCGTTGTTGTAGATTAGATCAAAGTACTTGAGAATAGAAAATAATTGATTTACTCACTGTTAAAAGAGTTAATCAAATTGTGAACATACATCATGCGAGTTTGAAAAACCAAGTTACATTCGTCACTTAAAGCTTATTGTTATTACAAGTCAATTTATAATGCCCTCAGATGAGTTAATTAAATCTTAAACAATCAAACTTGTCTAAAATATATCTCCGATTTAAGAAATGCATTAATATGCACAATCCAGTTGAAACGTTGAATGTATTTTACAAAATAAAACAAAAAAAACAAACAAAAACAAAACAGAATATATCTCCAAATTTAACCCAGTTACTAACGCAGCAATCCAGATGTGTGCACACTTTCAAAAGTGACAGGCACATTCTGTGGTAAAATTAAACAATTTTGTTAGAATACTTTATGTACAGCATTTTTGGGACTATTTTAAGATTCTGTAAAACAGTACGACAACCCTAAATGCGTGCTGTTAAAAAGGTTCTTGTTGTCAATGACAAAATAGCACCAGTGCTAGTTATAAATGTATTGATGTGTTTATATAGCGAAATATCTTGCAAAGTATTGAATATATTGAACCGTCTGATTCTTATGCTGCGGTCGTTGACAAAATGAGTACGATTATTATTTTAGTTTCGAGCACAACCCAAATAAGTGTACAAACTAAACTAGTATACCTCTTCTGGACTCTTGTCTGATGAGTGTATGTTATATTTTGACAGATTTGACACTACCAGTATCACGCTGACATGGTCTAAACAATTTATCCATTTAGATTTAAATGCTTCAACTCCATCTTCCAAATGTAAAATTCTGAAGAAAAAAAAGTATTAAAATACCCGATATTCTAAAACGACATCTGCTATATAAATTAAGTGTGAATGTTTAAGAAGAATATTCTGAACCTTTACAGAAGATTTTTGTTTTGCTGAATTTTTGAACATTCCCTAATGTATATACAATAATTTCTATGTTTAAATCTTAAAACATTTCTATAAAGATGTAACACTTTAACTGGCAACATATAACGTACAAATTTGAAAAAGAAAAAAGTCATGAACCTGAACTTTCTGTCACAGATGGTAAAACAAATTTCTGATAAATTCTTTGAGATTACAATCTCTTGAGGACCACCCGCATTGTTTGTTGCGTCATTGTTTTCTTGTTCTTCTTTAATGAATCTGAAGTATACAAGTTTTTAGTTATGCTTTTAGTGACCCCGCCTTTTCGAAGAATAAAGGGGGAATATAGGAACGGACTCGGTCCGTCTCGTTAAACTTCGTGTCCGATCTTGGGTATTCATCAAGGAATTATGAAATAACTAAGTACATACATGTATATATCTTCACATTATTAGACAACGTATCATGCGCAATAACCAGACCTCTAACTTCACATGGAGATGTTTTTCAAACTTAGCTTTAAAATGGGGGAACATTAAAATATGCTGCAATAACAGGAACTAAAATTGTTTACAAATTGTAATCTTACCTCAGCAACTGTTGAATAAATTGTTCTTTGTCTGAATACTTTGTTCCTAGAAATAAATAAAAAAGTTGTCAAATAGATATTTGAATAGGACTAGCAGTTCCTGCTTAGGTCATCCTCGGTAACCAAGGCTATTTATTGTACGTGTATACCAGTACTAGAGTACAGTACGGAACGTGTATTTCCGTGATGGCTAAGGCCTTTGATAAAAAGAAATTCTTCGAAATTGGTGCAACTGTAATTGAAGGGTATAAAGATATATAGCTATTATAGCAGTAAAATAATAAAATTAGATAAATAGATAGTGTACAATGTCATTGTAATCATATTGTTATGGTGATACATGGGGATACTTTTCACTAAAAATTAAAGAAAATTTAAACAAAGCATTCCGTAACAAAGATTCCAGCTTCTATAGCATGCTCAACTCAGTATGAATAAACGGAATACAAACATTCAATTGATGTCTATGATATAAAAGATTTGGCGCCAACTATAAAACAACGACAACAACAATATATTTCGATTTCAAGATTATTACAAACAATTAATTTAAACTGTGATATACTGACCAACGGTAAGTACATTGATCTCTTGTCTCTTCAGCATAAAATCACGTGTAAGTTCCTCTGTAAGCTGCCTAGACCTTTCAGCAGATCTGCTTCGTCTATGACTTTCTACACATCCCATCTTCTGACATCATTTACTCCGGTGACTTTACAATGTCATACTATATACATGATATGAAGATATATCAAAAATATATTAAAATTTGTCATGTTTGTTTCATAACACTTAAATTAAAATCCATGTAAGTTAAATATGTACATGTACGTATCAAGTCATTCAAATGAATAAGTTGAATAATTTCTAGTACGTATTGAATTTTTAAGAGATATGTGAGAAACACGTACACTTTTTTAACATGAAAAATATTTTCTCTATGGCAACTAAATATCAGCTGAAGTACTTACTAAGCCTAAATAATATAATAACATTGTATCCTTTTTCAAAGTGTCACATTCACAGCTTATATGATACTAGTAGTGTTATAATTATCTTAACATCATGTTTACATGTCCCTATTTCTCAAACTTCCTTTTATACTTACATACATCTAAAATCGATTCAAATACTTAAATATCTTCGGGAGCAAATAAATATCGCTCTTTATTTTATGCTTTTCAGTGGATTACTGATTTATCCATGAACATTATATTTGATAATTCCACAGTGAAAATTATCAAAATATAATTTCACACTTTTCAATAACGAAACTACTTTTTTAAGATTTTCCCCATGTTGTACCTCAATTTTATTTTTGCTGACAATTCTGACAATGTCAGGCTGTTTAGACAAAAGCAAAGCTGAAATTGATAAATAACTTAAATGTCAAAAGTAATAAAAAGAAGAAAACTTACTTCTATTCATTCAAATTCCAATCACCAAATATCGTCTTTCATTTTTTATAGTCTGAAAAATACATTCCTTCCACGTGCAAAAGTGCTCTTGATGACATTTGGGCAATAACTGCCGTATGCTTTATGAAAACTTGAAAAGCAATGACAGCCACCAGCCCCAAGAATAAGTAAACAACCCAGTGTTCGTAAGATTTCCAAATTTTCCAATTTTCTGGCCGCTTTTTGAATGTTTACACATCTGTCAACACTTATTTATTGTCTGTTACAATCCTCAAATAAGTTTACTATCTTTTACAAAGGTGTACGACTAACAAATCCAAATAATTACCGTCTGAATTAAACACAATTACTTTCTTCCAGTGAAAAACACAACTTTTAAAAATGGCGGCCGATTACATTTCACAAAGCCAGGTCTAATATAAAGTCGCAGTAAGTCACAGAAATATGGATGGATGGTTTGACTTTTTCTCCTACTAGAATTTGTTTGTTTTTATTATTAAAACAAGCGATCATTCATAGTTTTTAATATAATACGCCAGTTAACGTTGATTGTCAAACTTATTTTCCAGCCCAAGACTTCTTGTAAATAATGAGAAATTCGACTTTTTTTAAGCTCACAATGGGGAAAACAGATTTTAATATTAACGTTTATGTTAAGGAAATTTCGTTTTAACTCGTGTTTAAGCATAAAATAAAAAAAAGAGTGTTTGTTTGTTGTGTAAGATCTACTTATATTTCATGTCGTGAGCTTTAAAAAACAGTACAGAGTAGCCACGAGTGAGAATACTGTTTTTAAAGCCCACTCGGTGAAATCAAATTTCATCTTACACACAAACAAACAAATATCCTCTATGTCTTGTGACATCATGAGAATCATAAACCGGCTGCAGGTGATGGCATTTTCTAAATAACCGGATAGAATTATCTATCAACATAACTAAAAATTGTGGTGCTGAAAAATCTGATCCCATATATGGGTTCATCTTACACTTCTATGTATGAGGGTAGATGATCACGTGACATTTGTTTACGGTAACATGGGTCACCACTAATTACCGCGGTTGTGACTTAAAAAATTATTCGCTTTTCGGTATATTTTTCAATATCTTAAATATAAACACATACAATGTTCCAGCAAAAGTAAGACAATTGACGTGAAGTAAAAATAAATTAAATTACCTTGGTTATCTTATGTGAAATAAAATAACTGATTTCTTACAATTGGTGTGAAATAAATAAAATTATAACTTAGTTTGAGTAATTGAGGTGAAACTAATAAAGCTGTCCTATTTTTTGAAAATTGATGTGAAAAAATGTAAAATAACTTAGTCTGAGAAATTGTTTAGAATGAATAACCTAAACTAAGTTTAAGAAATTGACTTGGGATGAACAAAATTTACTTAGTTTGTGAACGCGATGTGAAATTGATAAACTTGGGTTAGTTTGAGAATTGATTGAAAATCATTAAATTACTTTGAGTAGCTCAAGTGAAATAAAAAAATCTTAACATATTTTAAGTAATTTGTGCGAAATAGATTAAATTATGAATAAGTTTGAGTTACTGATATGTAATCAATAAACTTATCTTATTTTCTGTTATTGATGTAAAGAGAAGACAAGATTAAGAAATTGTTTTGAATAAACCTTAATTAAGATATTGACTTGGAATTAACAATCTTAACTTAGGTTGTAACGTTATACGTGATGTGAAATAAATAAAGTTGGCTTACTTTGAGAATTGATTTAACATCATTAAACTGAATTTAATTTGAAGCACAGATGTCGATTAGATCTAACATAGTTTGCATAACTAACATGAAATAAATAAACTGAATTTAATTTCAAAATATAAATAAAACTAGCATTGTTTGAATAATTGATGATAAGTAAGTAAATTTAGTTGGAGTCATTGATACGGATTCAATCACTTCAGGCAAGTTGAATGAAATCAGTAAATTTTATTTTGTTGGAGTCTTTGATGTAAAATGAATAAACTTGACTCATTTTGCGTAATGAAGTGAAATTAGTAAATTAAATTCGACCCATTAATTAATATGATTCAACTATTCTGAAATAAATAAATTAAATGGAGTCATGGATATGAAATTAATACACTTAATTTAGTTTGAGTAATTGATCTGGAATAGGTAAATTTTATTCTGTTCACTGATATGAAATCAATAAACTTAACTTTAGTTTCTGATGTATAATAAGTCAATCGGGTCATTGATATGAAATAAATCAACTTAATAAATTCAATAAAATAAACCGAATAGGACCCAATTATAATATACTACTGTGTTAAAAATTTCTTTGCATAGGATCATCCGTTTCTGTTACAGAATGGAAGGTTTCAATTGTAAATTAGTTGTGTTTTTGAGTTTTTTCTCTTTAATCTATAAATATTTTTATTGTTTTTAACTATATTAATTTGCTACAAAAATACAATGTTAAAACAGACTGAATGAAGAGAAAAGAATAAATTAATTTGTTATAATCAGTACACTCTAATTCGTATTGAAGGACTATAATTATAAAGAATTTTCACTTTTGGTAAAAAACAAACAACAGAGTTCTCCCCCCCCCCCCAGTCGCTACAGTTGAAAGGTGGTCAATTATACGATCATAATAGCGTTGATAAAGCATCAAATAACACTTGGGAAAATATGAATATGTGGTCAATTATACGATCATAATAGCGCTGATGTGTTGATAAAGCATCAAATAACACTTGGGAAAATATGAATATTTATTTGTAAAAAAAAAAAAACAACAACAACTTTTTTCACATTAATCGAGCAATTTATTCTTGGTTTGTCTCTTATCTGGGACTTACGATTTTAAAGTCCTAGCTCACACTTAACACGAATAAATGTTTCGTCCGATTTATGCCTAATTAGTTAGAAAATCACACCTTTCATTACCCATCCATCTTTGTGTTTCATAAAAGGATTTGCATGATTACAAGATTACAATGTACAGTTAAGTATAGGAGCTCTTACACTCTAATCATCGGACAAAAGTGTATTGTCTATAATTCAGTGAGTTGTGAAAGCTATCATGGAAACATAAAACGCCTACATTTATAAATCATGAGTAATTCGATTTTTATTACATACAGATTTTTTTATATAAAAATATAATCGCCAAGTGCATTCTTATTTAATTATGTCGTTTTTAAATGCTTCAATGTCAGCGACGCAACAGAGTCAATAATTATGTTCAGCAACATCAAGAACATTTTAAACCAAGATCTGTTGCTATGAAAAATTGACCAAATGTAGTCTCTCCTCTTGCTTGTGCAATCTGCGTAGGGCAGAAGATAATCGCCCTACATAGAAATGTAGTTGAAGTCTATAGACAATAATGAGTTAGATGACGGTTAAAAGTTAAACATTATATAAAATAGATTTAAAAGCAGCACGCCTCCAAATTCATGTTAAATTTCATGAAAATTTTGATCATGTATTTGACAGTAAAATATTGTGAGGTGAACAAATAAAGTTATTTACATATTGCAATTGGCACTTACAATCCATGCAAATAACCAAAAAGAGGTCAAAATGTGCAAAAAAGCCCTTACTGCGTAAGTAACGCAGTATAAATATGGTGATAAAATACTACAAAATCAGTCTTAAGTCGCAAATAACATATAAACTTTAACATTGATCTTGATTGTTTTTACCTTTCTTGAAATATTAATTAGTACATTTTTCTCAATTTTCATTTTCTTGAAAATTTTCGGCTCATCTGGAGGCGTGCAGCTTTAACAAAATAGCAAAATATGCCTTTATACCTTTGTGGCCTATTGAATTCGTAGGACTTGAAAATCATTGAGATAATTGTTGTAAAAAATGTGGAAATAGACTTTTAAGATGAAAAAATATCCACTTTATTATTCTAAAAAATTTTAATAGATCATAAAAAATAAATGGATTTAACAAGTGAAATTGTTAATCAATTCTTGAAGAAAAGGTCAGGTTATATGATAATTAATGCATGTTCATGGACATGTCTCTTCTCTTTAGTATTCAGTTTACCTTTATCCGATTTGACTGTGATGCCAAGCAGACACATAGATGAGTTTATTTAGGTAATTTTACAAAATCTTGAGAAGCTATTTAAACCATTTTCCAGGTCGGTAGCGAAATAGGTTCACACATTTTTGTCTAGTTTATCGTCACACATTTTCAAAATCTAGGTGAATGCATCCCATCGCAAAAATAATTGCAAACATTGATTAAAGTTATTAGGAATGTCATATTATTAAAAGCGTCACCGATTAATGATTTGTAAGCTTGATGAAAAAAAAAACAAATAAAAAACCCCAGCCGATCACATGTCCATCTGTTGGAACCTTACCTCCTTCCAATCAATATAAGCATGGGAATTGTACAATACCAATTGTGTAATATCACGCAATACACGAGTAATAAAATTCGATCTA